ATGTGGGTCCCCGGGGAGCAGAGCTGGCTCTCAGGGATGCTGTGCCCTCTCCCAGGTGGGCATCCAGGTGAGCTACGAAGACCTGTGCAGCGGGAAGCACTGCAGCATCTGCAAGGCTTATGCCACCTTCGTGGCACAGGGCCCCTCCGGCAGCAAGGTGAGCAGTGGCTGGTGGCTGTGGGGTCTCGGTCGGCCTTTGCGCAGAGACAGCGAGGAAATGGCCTCTCTGGGGAGAGCCAGGCTGGGCTGGGCCTGGCTTTCCACCATGGCATGTGCCACTGCTATGTGGCTATCTGCACATGACTGGGCTGGTGATCCCTTATCCCGTGTGTGTGGGGTGCACGGTGGGGTGCACGGTGGTGTGCTGGGGCTCTCGCCCCCCTCTGAGCATGGAGAGCACCTGCCTGCTGCTGCTGTCCCCTCCTCTGTGCTGTATGACAAATCCCAGGGGATCTCTACCTGGCTATAGGAGCCATTTGCCCTCTGGCCCCTCCGCGAGCAGCCATAATATAACCCAGGAGGAGCGTGTCTGCCTCCGACACACATACAGTGGGACATACAGTGGGGCAGGAGCATGTGCCGGTGCCCGACAGAGCCCTGCCTTCTCCTGCAGCGGGACTGCATCCTGCCCGTGTCCCCTTTGCAGGTGAAGCTGAAGCCGCTGGCCCCGCAGACGGAGGAGGAGAAGATAGAGCACAGCATCGCTGCTGAGCGCCGCCGCATGCGGCTGGTCCACAAGGACACCCTCAAGGACCTCCTCACCCGCAGCCCCCGCGAAACCGGTACCGTGTCCTACAGCCCCAAAACAGCCCCAACACCCACTGCTGACAACCTCCTTCCTTGGTGGGATGCTGGGAGTGGGGTTAAGAGAGGTTTGGGGATGCCCTGGACACAGAGTGGGGGGATCAGCCCCACCATCCCCAAGCGAGGAGATGTGGGAGGGTTGATGCAGTGGGAGGGCGGCTGTGGGGAGAGGAGCTGAGGGCTGGTGGGACGCCAGCAGCGGGGGTCCCACCAGACAGCCGGCACGCTGAACCCCATCCTCCCCCATGGTAGAGCTGGAGACGCGGGACGGCAGTGCGGCTGTGCCAGCGGAGAAGACGCGGGTGGAGAGCGTGGAGCTGGTGCTGCCCCCCCACGCCAACCATCAGGGCAACACCTTCGGAGGGCAGATCATGGCCTGGATGGAGAACGTGGCCACCATCGCAGCCAGGTGACCTGACAGTGATTGGGGGGGGATGACAGCGTGTCTGGAGGGGACACACAGCCAGAGCAGCATCCGGCTGGGTCAGGCCACAGTCAGGTTATAAGGACCCTCCAAAGGGATGGTCCCCAGCAAGTCACCCCTCCGTACAGGGAGTCCCACAGGGACATGGTGCTGGAGGACCCCAGGGAAGGGTTCACACTCGCCACAGTCTGCTTGTCCCTTCTCATGGCTGGTTTTGGTGGTTGAAATATAGGGGTGACATTTTTTGGGGTCTTCCCAGCTCTGGCTGTGTTGGGAGGGTGTGTGGGGCTGCTGGGGCATGGGGCCATGGCCGGGGGGGTAACACCTGCCCCCCACAGCCGGCTGTGCCATGCCCACCCCACGCTGCGGGCCATCGAGATGTTCCACTTTCGGGGACCATCGCAAGTCGGGGACCGCCTGGTGCTCAAAGCCATCGTCAACAACGCCTTCAAAAACAGGTGGGTGCTGGTGGCGGGGGGTCCCCATCCCACCCTCCCGGTGGCACTCCACACCCTCACTAACCTTTATTCCCCCGCCCCCCCTGCAGCATGGAGGTGGGGGTCTGCGCCGAGGCGTACGGCCAGGAGATGTCGGTGAGCCGAAGGCACATCAACAGCGCCTTCATGACCTTCGTGGTGCTGGACCAGGAGGGGCAGCCCCGCACCCTGCCGATGGTGGCACCCGAGCCGGGGGTAAGGACGGGCAGGGCTGGCTTCTCCCCACCGCGGTGGCATGGGACTCCCAGGAATCCCGCTTAGCCCCGAAAGGCTCTCAGATTCGTGGCAAAACAAATGCAGTTTTATGATGATGGAAATGGAGTTGCTCACTAGCAAGTGAATTAAATTGATTGCTCAGTATAACTAATAATAAAATAAACCACTTGCCCATGCAGAGATGGAGACATATTAGCCATGCAAGGCTTAACAGAATATTGCCTGCAAGTTCGAGCTCATCTTTTCTATAATTTAGGGGAAAGAATGCTTTCTTAGGGGAAACTTAGGGGAAAGAAACTCCTTAGGTTGTTTTTACCTTTCAAAGCACCCTGATCCGTAATTTGCTCAGATCCAAATATTTAAGAAAATCTGCCACATGAGCACAGCAGCAAAGCAAACACCCGCTTGTCTTGGGGTACATCGTAGCGTGAGCGAGCGACAGCATTGCCTTCCCCTTGGCTGAACCATTCCTGACTATCTGATTTTTTTGATGCCTTAAAACTAGGACTCTTCTCCCACCCTGCAGGAGAGCATCTCACGGCTGGAGTCAGGCTCCCTGAAACCGCTTCTCCGCCTGCTTTAAAGCACTGTGCTATTGCTTTCTTTGAAATAAGTTGCTTTTTTTGGATTTTTATTTCCCGGGAGGGGACATTTGCATGTGCTAGGGGATGCAGTTTGTGTTTCAGTGGCTGTTTGCAGCTCTGCAGCCGCAGTGAGGGTTTTTTGCTAATGTGCCAGTGCCTGTTGCTTGATCACAGCACATGGCAGCGATGCTGAAATAGTTCACGGTTAATCACTAACCACCACACCCAGCCAGGGCAGCAGCCAGTGAGCGCAGTTTTCACTGCTGAACGTTCTGCTCGCTCCCCAAAAGTTATCTGTTTGAGTTTCTTTTCCCTCCTTTTCCTATTAACTTAATGTGCTTTTCCTGTTTACCAGGATGGAGAGAGGAGGTACAGAGAAGCTAGCGCTAGGAAAAAAATTCGGCTGGACCGGTGAGCAGAAAAAACAAGTGGGATGTGGGGATGGAGGACGGAGAAGTGCGTACAGGGGCAGTCTGTGAGTGGTTTGTGTCCACCCATAAGGAAATTGTTCCTTTCCTGCAGAAAATACGTTGTCTCCTGCAAACAGACCGAGGTGCCGCTCTCCGTGCCCTGGGACCAAAGCAACAAGGTAAGGTGCTGCCCCATGGGAGCCGCTGCCTCCTGCCCCCCCTTCCTGCCCCTGACGTGCTGCCCCTGCCCCAGGTTTATCTGAGCTACAACAACGTCTCTGCGCTGAAGACGCTCGTAGCCAAAGCGAACTGGACCCTCGTCAGGGAAAAGGAAAAGGTACTAAACCCTGCCCCAGCCCCCAGAGCTGCTTCTTGCCCCCGAAGCATGGGCAACCTGGGGGCTCGGCGGTGGTGAACGCGTCCCAGCCTGCGCCCTGTGCTCCCCAAGGTGCGGATGTACACGCTGGAGGAGGACAAGTTTCTCTCCTTCCGCATCGAGATGTCGGTGCGCATCGCCGCCAGCCGAGCCTTCTCCCTGCTCTCCGACCTGCGGCGCCGGCACGAGTGGGACAGGCACTATGCGTGAGTGCTGTGGGGCTTCCCGGGGCACCCGGCCCTTTCCAAAACCCACATCCTTCACCGTAAGGCTCCGTGCTTTGGGCTTTTCCTGGAGCAAGTGTTTCCCCTTGGAGCCACGATCGCTCCTAAAGACCTTTCATCACGCATCCCTGTCCCCGGGAGCACCGGCTCTGTCTGTGCTGATGGCTGCACTTTGCTGCTGAAAACATCCATTTTGGGTCCCTCAAAATACTTTGGGTACAGCGGCGGGCTGCAAATGTCCCTCCCCCTGCCCCTGCCCCCAGCATGCTCCCTTGCCCACCCTCCCTGCAGCCAGTCTCTGTCTCTCCTGGTATGACGGGTCCCCTCTCGCCTCGCAGGAGCACGGAGCTCGTCCAGCAGGTAGATGACGACGACATGATCTACCACGTGGTGAGCCAGACACTCAGCCACGAGAACAAGCCACAGGACTTTGTCATCCTGGCGTCGCGACGAAAACCCTGCAGCAAGGGGTAACCCACCCCGTCCCCGACCCCCTGCTCCCCGCCGGCCGGGCTGTGCCGGCTCACTGGGCTCTCTCCTCCCCAGGGACCCCTACGTGGTGGCCTTTCGGTCGGTGACGCTGTCCACCCACCCTGCCAGCACCAGCTTTACGCGGGGGGAAACGCTCTGCTCCGGTTTCTGCATTTGGCCGGAGTCGGAGGAGACAAGCAAGGTGGGATGCTGCGGCTGTGCCGCGGGGCTGTGCTGCCCTGACCCCATCGAGGAGGCTCCCCCATCCCCATGCGCCCCTACTAACCACCTCCTGTGCCTTGCAGGTGGCTTACTACAACCAGGCTACTCCGGGGTACCTCAACTACGTCACCACCAACGTGGCGGGACTGTCCTCCAACTTCTGCGCCACCTTCGAAGCCTGTGAGAAGTTCCTGCTGAAGAACAAGGAGGACCTGATCGTGCGGCTGCAGGACCTCTAGAGCTGCGGCACCCCTGCGGACAGACGGACAGAGAGATGAGGGGGCACCTTGGTGCTGGTGGAAGGCGACATGGGGTGGTGGCACCCAGACCCTGCCTCCCCAGGGGGCTTTGGCCTGAGCGAGGTCCCAAGGGCTGGGGTGGAGGGGCATCCCTGTACCACCTCGCCCCCTGCACTGATGTGTCATGTCTTTTCTTCTTCCTTTTATTTAGAAATTTTATAAGCTGATGTACAGGACTTGGTTTTCTAGTTCACTTAACACTACTTGAATCTTTATATGATCCAAAGTCTTCCTAACACAGGGTTGTTTTTTCTTTTTTTTTTACTATTCTTTATGGGGGAAACTGGTTCCCTTTGAGGCAGCAAAGGGAGAGAGGGATCAGTGATGTGGGGAGAGTTCCGTATCCCTCACTGGTGCAGGGATGGCTGGTGGAGCATCCCACCCACCCCCCCACCCC